CAGCAACTTTCTGCAACTTTCTCTCTCCTTGCTTTTGCAGCCTTTGCAGTGTTCCCTTGCGTTTTAATTAAACTCTGAAACTCCTGAAATCCCTCAATCAAGAGTTCTTGCTCTGCTGCCGAAAAATACCGAGCGCGCTCCTTCGACATTTTCGCCGACCAATCAGAGGGTTGCCGATCAATGTTTCTACTATCGATGCTGTTAGGTATTTTAGTACCATGGGAGCATTTACTGGATATTGTTTTATAGTGACATTATGCAGGAAAACTCTGTCATTCAATAAGGCCCCTTTGTTTTAGTTATTTTTCTCTTTGACCCAAGAATTGATGTGTGAGAATCACAGGCTGGTACAAGGTTGAAATACCACAGAGATCACTCCCTCAGCTACATTAGTTTCTTAATCTTTTAGGAGATGCCTGTTGAAGACCAAATGGTTTGTTTCAGATTTCACTAATGTAAGAACTCTTTGTTTTGTGCCTTGAAAATATGTCGCTGAGATAATCACAATTGTAGCTGAACTGATACACTATACAAAGGATGCTTCTTCACCCAAGGGCAGGAAGACGCTCCCTTATCTTGGTCTGTACTGGTTTAAACTGATAATCTGCTGTCTCATGAATTTTACCCTCTATATAAACTGTTGTACTTGTGAATAAAGTTGAGTCAATTTGGGAAGACAACCTGAAGCAGTCTCTGTTTTCTTGTTCTCCCAAGCTGCTCCCGAGCTCGTACTAACACGCTGAATGGCATGCTTGAATATTACTTGAGAATATATTTGACTGTGTTACAGACTAAGGGACATTCTCTGCTGATAGGTGAAGGTACATTCTCTGCTGATAGACGTCCACACCTCGAAGGAAGTCGATCCACGGATTAGGCCCTGGAAACCGTTTCCTTCAGATGCGTAGCCCCTTTTACGACACCCAGTGATCTCACATTACTTCATCCAGCTGTACTGATCGTCAACAGCAGGTGTGTTCGGGGAACCGGATTAGCGAGCTCACGGTTAGCGCGATGGTTTGGTCTTGGATGTGTCATTTGATCTTGGATGTAGTAAGCGACGTACGAAGAACGGGTCCCAGGGCCCTATTTCAGGAAGCCGGTTTAGTGCAAACTCTGAGTAAATATACCCTGAGTTAATGAAAACTCTGGGTTTTCTAAACCCGCTTTCTGAAACAGACTCCTAATGATGAAACTGCAGCCCATGGGCTCATGGATTGGAAGACATCAAATAGCTCAATGCTTCACTCTGAGGCAAAGATTTGAATTTGTACATGAAGCTTAGGATCAGGAATTTTTTATAGCAAGTAATCCAAACAACACAGCAACATATTAATGGCTAACCTCGTTCAGTCAGATGTTCTCTTGACTAAAGTTTGGTTCATTTTCAGCGACTTTTTTTGCCATATGATTGCATTTAGGCAGCACGGTGGCATGGTGGTTAGCACTGTTGCCGCACAGCAAGAAGGTCCTGAATTCAATTCCACCATCAGGCCGGGGTCTTTCTGTGTGGAGTTTGCTTGTTCTCCCCGTGTTTGTGTGGGTTCCCTCCGGGTACTCCGGCTTCCTCCCACTGTCCAAAGACATGCAGCTTGTGGGGATAGGTTAATTGGATAATCCAAATTGTCACTAGGTGCAAATGAATGTGAGCGCGAATGGTTGTCTGTCCCTGTGTGTTGGCCCTGCGACAGACTGGCGACCTGTCCAGGGTGTACCCTGCCTCTCGCCCTATGACAGCTGGGATGGGCTCCAGCACCCCCCGCGACCCTGAAAAGGATAAGCGGAAGCGAATGGATGGATGGATGATTGCATTTGTCTCTGACCATCAGGGACCCTGAAATTGACTTTTATTCAGTGGAAAGGAGATAACACTCATCCTCCATCTTTGCTGTCCTAATGTATTTATATTATCCTTAACACAGCTTTGTAGCTAGCCACCAGGTAGCACACCATTATATGCCAGCAAGCCCAACTTTAATAACCCTTCAAACATTGCTGCTGTTTAGTTTTTCCATCTTCATTTATGCATAAAGTGATTGCAGAACAGTACATGTTAGTCTCTTAGAAATCCATTAGTCAGAACATGGTACATCATCTTTAGATGGAGACCAGCGAGCTAACTTCCTGCTAACTTCTAATCAGTTAAGTCTCATAAATCCTCTTTTCATGGTTGTCTGGAGGTTCAACTTTGTTGTCACACCTGGGAGAGCAGCCAAACAGAATATTTTATTAAAGACGAAAGATTTTAGGCTGTTTAACTCACTGTTTGTTTAGGTTTGGGAACTGAAGAAGAGTTTGAACCTGGAAATGACCAATGACGTCAGAGGCCGCTGTATTTAAACACTGCCTCTGATTGGCTGACTAGAGATTTGTGTTAAAGAGACAGATTTGTGAGCGTGGGTAGCTAACTGCTGGTGATAGAAGCTGTTAAGTCAAACATGACTTTCAATAGCACCAGTTAACTTTTGAAAGGCCCAAGAGGGGGGGAAATAAGAGAGAAATATCCTGCGAAGATGACGTCACTTCCTGTTTTGCTGATGTGTGCTGTCACAATGCGATGACGTTTATTCCAATGTAGGAAGTGCCATGAGCAGCTGATCAAATCAGCAAAACGTGTTTGTGGATTGTAATGTTTTTGTTGTTGCCAGCGGTTTTTATGCGATTTTTCCAAAGTGGAAGGAAACCGCGGCCTGGGACAAGTTGAGTGCGTGATGTGTAAGTAAAACCCTCCGTTTTCATATGCAAAAAATTATTGCTTTAGCACGTTTTGGTTTCAATTCTGAAACCAAGATGAATTTATACATGATTGAAAAAAGAAAAATGTAGACAAAGGAAGGAACAGCTCATGATCTCAGCAGGATAAGCGTTTACAGACTATACTATATGCATACTGTGAAAGTAAATAATAGATGTTTTTCAATGGCCAAGTCAGTCACCTGAACTCAACCTCACAGAACATTTTCAGGTATTAAAACAAAAGTAAAGGCCTGACAGAGCCTCTCAAGGCTGATGTTCAGTAATCTTTGTCTGGGACTTTATTCCACATTTTAAAAACACAACTACTATTTAAACACAACTACAGTAAACAATTACTTTTGATCTTCTGAAATGGTGGACAGCAGTAAACATATATTATGTTGTTTTGGGATAACTGGGCTGAAATAACTGATGATGCTTATTTGGGAAGGACTTATCGGGTTCAATATTCCAAATCACATTTGAGGTCTCAGGTCCTTACTTTTAACTCCCTGTATGTGTATTTAGGTGGATAGAGTGATGCATAATGGAATACTAAAGATGGATTCACATGCATGAAGGATTTATAGGACAGACAAAATCTGTTTAATTTCAAACGTTTAAAACAACTTATCAAAAACACACACAGGGGCATGAATGATGCAAGGACACTGAAAAGAATTGCGTGAGTCCCTCGGCCCTTCTAGATGCCCATCACGGCCATGAACCCCCACGTGTATCTGCCTTAGGTGCCAAAACACAGAGCTTGGGTGATTAGTGTCAGTAAAGTGAACTTGGGTGAGCTGTAGTCAAATAACGTTTAATTCATCTCCTGGTTCAATGTTTGATGAGGCTGAAAGTAATGAGAACCCATGGGATGGCTCACTGCTCAAGTTGGAAATGGTCAACAGGTCATTACCTTCATTATCCCACAAGAGCAATTATACACACTTTGCAACGCCCAGAGGGCTGTGCTGGGTTACCAAATCAAAACAAAGATGTTTTTCAGTGTAAGTGGTCAAGAGAAGATCGCAAACTATGACAAACATAGAGTGAAACCAGCTGACTGACCTAATGAACATGTTTGTGAGACTCTATGATGGCAGCAGTCATAAACTCTATTCCATACGTTTATGCTACACTGTATATGCATAAAAGGGCCCATAGCAGTATTTACCTTTAAGGGAACAGTGTTACTACTACTAATACTGTATATGTTCCTTTTGTTTTGTTTTGTTTGTAGTGTAGTAAATGTCAGATAAAGGAAGCATGACAGATGTTTACTTTGACTATATGAACATTATGTCGGCGTTGGTAATGGGTATTAATTTTTAAATAACTGAATATGAATAACTTGTATAATATCTTACTGTACTGTGCAATACTTTCTATGAAGATATAGCACATTTTGGGGTAGAAACAAAATTCCCAAATAAGATTCTAAAGTCCTAAATGTTGCCAGCACAAACAAAGTTAGTAGAATTTTAAGCAAAGCAAAAGACATTTTCTGAAAGTTTGACCTTATGTGATCTTGAAGAAGAGGTCAGAGGTCCAAAGTTATATTTAGAATCCTCATATATCATTCCCTACATATCAATATGTTGTTAATGCAAATAATGACAGTAAGAAACATAGTCTTAAATACCTTTTATAATGCATTTTTCTCACTTTGACCATCAGATGAATCTATTGACCTTAAAGCAGAGGTCAGAGGTCAAATGTGACATGATATTTTTACGAGGCCTTTTGGCAATTTTTAACCAATAAATCATTAACTGGAGCTTGAACACACTGATGAATTATTACTGGATTGTTAACATAACTTTACACTCCTACAAAGTTTCATTCAAAACTATCCTGTATGACACAGACACTCAAAAACATAACCTGCTTGGTCGAGGTTATGACAAAGCATTTTATCACAGCAGTCGGCTATAATATAATCATAGCCAGGTGTCCTTTGCTAAGATAAACCTTTTTTTTAACTGTATATCTTGAAGACATACTGTAAGGAATTTGGGGTATTAAGTGCCATCGTACAGTAAAATGGGTGACAGGAAAAATAATAATAAAAATCATAAGTATGTTTTGCGTTCTCACTTGAAATCATGCAATACAGTGACTAAAACTGTAGTGTGTTCTCCACTTTTCTATTTTGTTAATGTTCCAGTATGAGACAGTACAGTCTGTAGAAATTGTCCCATGAAAGGGTTAAGTAAGAGGCCCTGCCCCTGTTGTGCACTGTTAGCAAATCTGCAGCTGAGTTTAGTTCCTGGCTTCAGAGACACCTTTCAACTCGTAAGAAGCATTTTTTCTTCATCGGTTTTACTTTCTGCTTTTCTTCCCTCAGTGTTTTAAACGTATCTCTGCTCTCATGTTTGAGACTGCAGCTTCAGTTCAGTGATTTTTTTTCCTGTTAATGCTTTGATTAATGTGGAAAAACGTCAGTGCAGGAAAAAACAGGAGTCCAGTGTGTGTCCGGACAGAAAGCAGCTCTAACAGAGACTGTAGCAAGAAGACAAGAGAAGACATGCAGAAGCTTTATTAACAGAAAAGCAATTAAAGTCAAACAGGAGGCTGAAGGGCAATACGGGCGAACTTTGCTCCACAAAGAAGGTTGCTTTACAGCCCAGATTAAAAGGCCGCAGTTGTAAAGAGAAGAGTGAAAAGGCAACTCCATGGCATACCGGCTCTTTGAAGGGAAGGATCATGCTTCCATCTACCAAAAGTATCGCTTTACACCTCCAGCAGGGCTCAAGGATATTATTATTCAGTACTTAGATAAAAAGGTATGCTTAAAATATAATGTGCAAATTATCTTCACATATGAAGGCCTTTCCTGAGGAAAGACATTAACAAGTAGCAAACTCCTTTCTGCAACTCCAGAAGGGACAGCCACATGAGCTGGCGGTGGATCTGGGATGTGGAACGGGACAGAATTCACGTCTACTGGCACCGCACTTCAAGGAAGTAGTGGGTCTTGACATCAGTGAGTGTCAAGTGGAAGAGGCTAGAGCTGTGCCAGGGCACCCCAACATCACGTACAGGTAGGAGAGCTTCCGGGCTGCAGCCTGTAGGAGTGTGTACAGTAAAGTACTTCGAGCAAGTGATTTGCAATATCATGCCATGGGCGGTATCTGCCTTCTTATCTGGCTCACAGCAAGAAAGTAAATAAAAGTTTTCTTAATGTCAAACTGTTCTTTCAAGACCATGTCCACATTTCTCTTATAACTGCCAAGTCCACAGCTTGAGGAACATTTCTATTGTAAATCACTTGTTGAGTACTTCCTTCATGTTTCACCGCAATATATTTTCCTGAGTATTATCAAGCTGATCAGCTTTTAGCTGACTAGGTAGAAGGATCCCTTTACATGGGCAGGTTGTGTATTGTGTCTGTTGCATTTGCAGAAAGGGGACAGCAGAGGAGCTTCCATTTTCAGATGGATCTGTAGACCTGCTGACGGCAGCTTCAGCAGCGCACTGGTTTGATCAGTCGAGGTTTCTGGCAGAGGCAGCTCGGGTCTTGAAACCCAGAGGCTGCATGGCTCTGCTGGGCTTCAGCGATTATAACACCAAACCCACCTACCAGAACTGTGGAGACAGGCTCAAAAACATCTATGAAGAGGTAGGTGCAGACTGATAATCAGAGTAGTGTTAGTCCATTCCCATGTGCACCGTTGGATTCCTTTCAGTGCTCCTGGATCTCTCCCTGAAAGTGTCCTGTTCTACTCAAACATCCATGTGTGCATGAGCATCATCACCTTGGCAATCAAACATCGACTTTGCCAAAGAGCCTGCAGCGTCTGAGACAGAATCAGCTCATGAATGTGACAAAGAACACTTTTTTGCAAAATGCCAGTTCTTTTCACGTCATACAAAGCGTCATTTGTAAATTTTCTTGAAGTTTAATTACTTCAGCTGCAGTTTTTCAGTATATTTTCATGTTCAGTGAGAGAAATCTGGTCTGTTTAGAGTCAGATTCAGTGCTGTGACTGAGGATCTGTGTCTAGTTTTGTTAAACGTCATCACTGACAGTGTTTGTTCACATGTGAAGGTGGATTCAAACATCTTCCGAGCACGTGTCTTTATGTGAGAGAAGAATAAAACTCGAGCACTGATACTGTCCTGAAGTAATCTATCTGTAGCGAATCAAAGTGCAACAAACTGTCTGTGAAGTTAATTATCTCAGTTTCAACATCAGCAACGTGGTTAATTTTTAGCGCTGACAAAACCTGGTGCAAAAACGCTGCTTTTGTTGCTTTCCAAGAAGAGTTTCAGATCCCTGTTCCTGCTCGGCTTCCATGAAGTTCTTGTATTTCACTGTGTTTAGTCTCATTCATGATGATTCAAACTGTAATCTTTCACCACAGAAATCTGCTTTCCACAAACGAACCACACAGCTTTACTTCTGACTTCAGTAAATACTTAGAAGTATTTACATCAGTCTTTCTTTTGTCACTGTGACATCTCTCGGGGCTAGAAACTTTCAGAAACAGTGACGGTGCATTCCTTTGTGCACATCTACATACATTTTTAAAAAAAAGTAGTTACTTAAAAATAAAAGCAGCAAAGTTGTGTTGTGATTTGTGACCCGTGTGCCACATGATTGCATCCACTCAGAGGCAAACACAAACATATATAGATCTATAAATAGAGATGTACAGATAGATAAGATGTATAATAACAATAAAAGTGAAGTGTACAGCAATTTAAAATTAAAGACAAAAATGATAAACACCAAGACAAACACAGCAGCCAGCACTGGACTGGCTTTTAAGGTGGAACACCCGACTAAATATAGTTTGCCTAATGTAGCGTTGACTAAAGGCTTGGGGAAAGAGCCAGCAATTCTGTCTCTTAACAAAATCGAACACTACAGCTAAGCTTTCTCTCTGTTATAAAATGCATAACTTTTTATTTTAAAATGTTTGTACTTTGGTAAATGTCTCTTGTTGAAGAATAATACTGGGCACTGACTGTTTTGAGAATCTCATATTTTTGTAAAGTCACTATTTGCAGCAGTTCCACCATTCACTGCTTTAATGTATCATTTGTTTGTCTTTTTAGAGATGTACTACTTTGACAGCTTTTGCAGACAGTCACATAACAAATGGTGCAGTAACATCTCACACCTCTATGAACTCACTTCCAGGTGAAGCAGGCGCTGCAGCCCTACATGAGCAACCCAGTAGCTGTAGCTGACGGTAAGCTGGACCCGCTGTACTCTGCCATCCCCTTTCCAGATAAAGAGAGGTAAACACAAACACATCCCTGTCTTTATGCTACCTCTGTGATGGTTAAATAAAAACCGCTTAAGCACAAAAACAGCATTAACTTGTTGCTTCAGAGGAAACTCACTGCCAACAATACAAACTTAGGCTGGAATGTTTTTTTCAGCTGTGTGTAAAACTAATCTTGTGCCTTATAGGAGACATTATTGGTGCTTTTTCATCAGATTCATTGTATTATTTTACTGATCCGACAGGATTGATTGTTTTCAAGCAAAGTCCTTGATCTCAGTGAGGCATCTGGTGGGTTTCATGCAAAGCTGGTCCATGTTCCAAGCCTACGCTCTGAAAGACCCCAAAGGTGCTGAAGAGCTGCTGTCCAACACTGAGAGGAGGTCACCTGCACACACAAATTCAGATATTTAACTGGCCCGTGCCTGTTATTGTGATCTGACTCACACTTTTTGGTGTCACTGATCTTCTTACAGGTTCCTTCAAGAGATGGGAGTCACGTCTCCTGACACTGAAGTGGAACTTGAACTGGATTATTACTGCATCCTGGCCTGCAAACCACATTAATCAACACTTCAACATTCAGTGAATATCACTGTGAGATACATAAACCTGTTGTTCTAAATAAACCATGTTTTTATCAGCAGATTCTGTGTTTTACTGATTTTCTTGAACTGGACACATGTTTCATTTTGAAGTGAATAACCGGTGTCTGACATGCACAGTCACAGGTTACATAAGTGGAAAGAAAGAATTGAAGATTAACCAGCTGTGTCACGTCAGGGGGTGGAGGTGGGTGGGTGCTTAGATGAGTCTGTCAACGGTCTTGATATTGTGGGTGGCCTGTCCTCTTATTGTAACCATATCAGTGCCCCTTCCTTAATATTTCCAATAGTTAATCTGATGTTCCAGCTGAAAGAATAGCTGTCATTATCACTCGGAAATCAATTTAAGAGATTTTTCACATAATGAACTGTCAGAATCAATAGATATGTCTTAGTGTAGGTATTATTTAGGTGTAGTGTAAAATCCATCCATCCCCTCGTTTCCACTTCTCATGGTGGGGTTGGAGCCTATCCCAGCGGGTACTCTTAAAACTTTACAACTTAAAGTGGCCGAATGGGGTCAAGATTAACTCTCTGTGCCAAATGTATTTTGCTAAGTAACTGTAAATCTCTCAAGAAAAGATATCGCTGAAGTTCATCATAATTACTTCCTTGGAGGTTTTTTCATGAACGTAATCCACACACACACACACACACACACACACACACACACACACACACACACACAGGAGTTTTTATTGGTTCTGACGGGAGCACATACCATCACATGACCCGTAATCTAACCCTTTTCTCACACAGCGCTTTTGAGCTTGACCCAGATTTCAGTTTAATGTTAATATCATGGCTTAATTTTGACATTTAGAATATTAGAAATCAGTATTATGTAGGGAAAGAAGAAAACAACAACATTATTATAACAACAAGCAAAAAATAAGAGTATAAAAAAAGACTGTCTCTTTAAAAGGCTCTAATTATGAAGCAAAGCAGGTTTTGGCAGGAGTGGGACCTCCCACTCCACTGTGTGTCTTTCTTTGTGTTTGTGACTTACTGCTGATTCTCACAGTGGAGTGTAGAGTTTCACTTCTCTTATCTGATCAAAAAGAAAGATACACAGACAAAAAAACAACAACACCACATTAGGTAACTTATTACTTAAACTGATGCTGGTTCAGCTGTTTGAGAAGGCTTCAGCTCACCATGGCCTACCGCCTGTTTGAAGGTAAGCAGCATGCTTCTTCCTACTGGAGGTACAGGATCTCTCCATCAGGTCATCTATTTCAACACGTGCTCGACTTCCTGGAAAAACATGTAAGTGTGACAAATGCTTCTCCTTCGAGAATCCTTTCAACTGTAAACTGCCATCAAACATTTACAGCGCGTTAACATGTTGAATATTTTGTCAGAAAGGTCGGCCCTTTGAGCTGGCAGTTGACGTGGGCTGCGGCTCAGGACAGGGCACTCTGCTGCTGGCCAGACACTTTGCCTCTGTGGTGGGCACTGACGTGAGTCCCGCCCAGCTGGAAGTGGCTTTGCAGCACGCCAAAGAGCCGAACATCACGTACAAGTAAGAAAAGACCAAACAAGTCAGAATTCATCAAAACTCGTGCCTGTAAAAAAATAAAATACCACAGTTAATGCCACATCATTTGTTCTGTTCTAGTAGGAGAATGTTCCTTAATGTAAGCCTCACAGCATGACCAGCCTTCACAGGACAGGGGTTACATTGTTCTGCCGCGAGCTACGTGTTTTCAGAAGTCCTGCATAAACACTCTGAAAAATGATCCTGCAGTCAGTCAAAAGTTTCACTTGGCCTTTGCTCCTCTTTCATCTTCAGACAGTGTGGTGCCGAGGAGCTGCCACTCGCTGACAGCTCAGTGGACCTGGTGACGGCCATGTCTGCCTTCCACTGGTTTGACAGGCCACGCTTTCTCGAAGAGGTCCACAGGGTCCTGAAGCCCCACGGCTGCTTAGCCTTGCTCAACTACACCATTGACATGGAGCTCAGCTACGCCGACTGCTGCTCGCACTCACTAAATCAAGTCTGCAAAGAGGTGCTCGCATAATATCCACCTAGAATAGACTGCTGTGTTTTCATTACCACTGTTTATAGTCTAGTGGTTTTTAAAGTAATGCAGCAAAACCATTTCTGGAAAAATTCTTGAGTGCTCACTTATACACCACAAAGTCAATATGATTACTAAAATAACTCTTTTCTTTAAGACTAAACATTATTCAAGCCTCATATTCATGTCCAGGAAGGGGATTTCAGTTAAAATAGTTACATTTAAACTAAATAATTCTTACAGAAAAGATTTATGTAAAAAGGAATAGATGTACCTGTGTTTAAAGTCTGTTTTAGAGGGTAAAAAAAAGTCCACCTTAACTAATAAATATATAAGGAAGGAGGGTTTGTGTGCCACTCAGATGTTATTTTATAGGAATGTGAGCGGTGAATAACGGCGCTTTCAAAAAACAGCCAAAAGATGATAAATAATAATAAAGGAAGCATCTCCTCTCTGCTTTCGGTGGAGTTTTATGCACCAGGTTCATTGCCACATCATCCAGAGAAACAGCACTTGGTGCAGTGCAAACATAAGGACACAGAGTTTGGATTACTTTGTTGTTAAGAAACTAAGATGATGTGCGTTGCCATCTAGAGGGCGTTTCTGGTAAAACAGCCTGAGCTGAGGGGTGCAGTTGTTTGAGTTGATGAGTGAGGTGCACCAACTTTGAGTGGACTGTAACACACAGCTCATAGTTATCATAACTTGAATATTACCGAGTTATGTCTGATTGATGCTCTTTGTAATATTATTAACAAATTCATAATAAATACTTCTCATGGCCTTTTCTGTTGGATTTGCCAGTTTTATGCAGCGTTGCAGCCGTACCGCAGCCCCCACCTTGGAGTGAGCTCTATTAACTTGTACCGGGAGGCCTTAGAAACTATTCCCTACCCTCACAAGGAATGGTAAATAATCCTAACTCTAATTGTTTCTTAATATGGAATTTTCGCAGCAGACCACCATTACTTATGTAACAGACGTTTTAATTCTTTCCAGCATATACATGTTGTGTACTTTATAATTTGTAACATTTAAAAAATAAATAAATAAAAATATCACTTTAGCTATTTTAATGTTCAGCATCCACTTTAAAAAAAAAATCCCCTTGGCATGTCTGATGGGTATTTTATTTATCTCTCTCTCTCTCCACTGACTGCGTTCATGCCGCGAGTGTATTTTGTGTTACAGGCAGGAGTGTTTGTGGGACAGAAAGACCATGCCTCTGTCCAGCTACATGGGGCTGGTGGAGTCTTTCTCCAGCTATCAGGCTCTGCTGAGAGACGACCCACAGGAGGCCTCCAGACTCTCCCAGGACATCTGTCAGAGGTGAACCGGGACCTTCACGGTGTATATGTGTCATAATGACAATAATGTGTTTTGACAGTTTAATGTTCCTCAGTGTTAAAATCTATTACATACAGTAACATGACAAACATGTCAGCAGGTTTTGTGGGTGATAATAATGTCAGTGGAAAAACCACAATTATAGGTGTAAGACTGGCATTCGTTGTTGTCTAAACGAGTCCCTCTAGCTGAATTATCATGCGCTCTGCTTCCTGTGTTTCTCTGCATAGGCTGATGTCTGTAATGAAGGTGACCTCTGCAGAGACAGAGGTGGTGGTGGCTGTCAAGTATTTCTACCTTTTGGCCTGCAAACCACAGGAAGCCTGACACCTGTCTCCTCCATTATTATTATTATTATTTTAAACAACAAAAATGAACCTAATTAAGGATCCAGTAGAAAACATGTCCTGTTTTTGTTTTCCCTTCAGTTTCTCTGTGCACAAATGTATCTCTTTGATACTCAAAATTTAGGACAAGCTCAGAAACAAATAGTGCTATATAATGCTTTAATTACACAATTTATTTCCTGTATTTTAACTAAAATTAGTCACGTGTGTACATTTACCGTACAAACATAAGAGTGATATTCATCATCACACTTAATAATCCAGCTTTTATAAAACCAGCCTTTTCATAGAGAAGTTGCACAGAAAGGTTGTGCAGATATTATCTGCTGAATACGCACTTTTCCCAATAAGCACAGAATTATATACTCAGTGTTTGCATCAGATTGCTTTAGTAAATTCTCAGAAACATGTGAAGCCTTCATGGTGTTTCATAAGTTGCCACTAGAGGGAGCCATTGATCAATGTTCTACTGATGACTGAGACCATTCCGATCAGGGTTTTGTAAGTCTGGCAAAGCACCACCATTAAAACCCGACTGCTGTGTCCTTGGTTTCTTCATCATCACCATTATCAGTGTCTGCTTGGCTTCATTGCCCAGGAGGAGATGTAAATGAAGCCCCTGTTACCTTAATGTCGGTGTGCTTGGGCCATTTTCAACCTTCAGTCTTTGAAAGTTCATCGCAGCTTCTCTTAAATTTGTTTGCTCAGAATCTCAGTGAAAAAAAATAGAATTTCCTTAACTATCACAAGGGGTTGGAGTTGCTATTGCTTCTTAACAGTTCTCTATGACCTTGTATCACTCTTGTCTACAGGGCTTTAGAAAACCTTTGAACTTCTCAGGGCCCTCATCCCATTACAGACCACAGTGGATTTATGGGCTTGTTCTCCAGACTAATCCTTTTGTATTCTTGTCTTTACTGAGCTAAGAGTAACTTTATCATGTTTGTTATGCTTAAAATAGCCTCAATTTTGTTCTCAAACCCTGACTTTCTAACTGAGGGCCTTTATTATAAACACATTATAGTACTGGCAGTGCAGGAGTGTTAAACATTAGAGTGCCACTTGTTGCTGCTGGCATGACTTGAGATCATGGTTTGACTCAGGAGGGCCAAGTAAGCATGTTTGCCTAATCTGAAGTTGGTCTGCTTTAACCTTTAACCTCTTTAACCTGACAGGACATCCTCAAAATATGTAGTTACCTACATTTTGTTTCACTCTATATCATTTTATTTTTACAGTATCTTCTTGTCTTCCTCCTCTGACCAGGCAGAAGTATCTAACAAAATCTGTTAAATAGTGAAAAACATGACATTCTCACTCCCCTGTGCTTTTTGATTTTCTTCTTCCAATTTCTGGATTTTTAAATGATTTTTTTTACCTTTAACTTTTTAGTTTCCTTTGAACATTATTGCAGTTTTTTTACTGCTTAATGTAATTAATGTAGTGAAGGCTACAGCTGATTTAAACTATGATAGAATAATAGTTGTAAATAATATTACTTTCATGTATTAAATACAACAATTTACTACGGCACATCTGCGTCCTCCTTTCTCTCTGATGTTTCAAGTGCATGGGCTCCATTCAGATCTCATTATAAGCACCCTGCTATTATCTAAAGATATGGAAGGAAATCAATAGCTGTCTGTCCTTTGAAATCACATCTGTTCTGTCAGGCTGCTGACAAAGCTTAGCAGAAAGTCAGCTTGAAGGGATTTATTTTTATTGATCTGCTTTTGAATTACATCTTTGCACAATGGGGTACTCTGTGCATGCATCTCTGCAGACTCCACATCTTTGGGCACAGTCGGTGTCTATGTAACAGTTTCTGATTTTAATGGGAAATGATTAAAAATAATGTGAAAGCTGAGAATAATTTGAGGACCACCTGGAAGTCAAGAACACAAACAAACCAAGATCAGAATCTTCAACTCTGATCTTAAATCAGTTTTGCTCTGTGGTGCAGAACATAGGAAGCTGAGAAAGGCTCACAGACCTTCATCAGCAGCTGTCTAAGGAACATTTTGAAGACTTACTGGTCTAACTTGATCTGCAATGACCTGTAGGAAAAAGCAAAACAAAGACCTGCAGAAGAAGAGGAGGATGAGATGGGTAGGACTCAAGGGAACACCACCACTAGACGAGCCTGAAGGAAAGGAAAAAAGAGGCAGCCCAGAGTTTGAATAAGCAAATATTTGAATATACAAATATGAGCTAGAGCTCATTTGCATCCTCCTCCATCCCTATACAATGATCAAACAGAAGCAAAGGGGCTCAAGGAGAGTTTTAGTTTCGTCAGCGCATGTGTGCGGTGATTTGTGACTGAAAACTCTGTGCTTTACGTCAGAGACGCCAGGCTCTGATAGTAACTCTCATTGAATTCTGCAGAATGTGCTGGAGCAACTTCAAACCAACTGAGATATTCTGTCAAACAGTGAGCATGTCTGATGTGTCTGCTAAACACGTGTTTCCATCTGTGCAGTCTTCAATGTTATGCATTAAAAACCAAAGCAAGGATATTAATAACAGACAAATAATTTTGTAGAGCATACATCGTAAAATGAACACAAGCACAAACAGTCCTCTCCTGACTCAGTGTTTTCTGGTACTTGCAAACACTGCACATTACACATCAGCTTCCCGCATGCCCGAGGACAGCATGACCAAATACTTCCATCAGGGTCTACTTTTTGACACAATTCTTCTTTCAGCGCTTTGCCCTGTCACGTCGCATATTCCTAAAGCTCACCTACAACAATAACACCACATCTAATGGTACATGAGTAAAGGTGGATTGCTTGTAATGGGTTTGACACAAAAGGTATGCCTTTTTCTGACATGACAAATTTGAGCCTGATACACGTTCTCTGGTAGCACTAAGCTACATCTCTTACTCTGCTCAGGAATCACTACTGCAGGGAATTTCAGCTCATAACATTCTTCTACATTTCACACATAAATTAGTCTGAATGAAAAGGCAGCAAGGTTGATGGCTGTCTGTATTTACCATCAGGTATAAGCATGACTGATCTGCAGCTAAACTCTGATCTTCTGTGTGTTCAGACACTTTTCCATCAGAATCAGCACAAACGTTTTGTTTTTTGTTGTTGTTGTTTTTTTTAAAACTTTGAGCTACAGAAGCTCGTCTGTCGGATCAGACCTTAAATCCTCATGTGCATCTATGAACCTTGGTGGTCCATGACCCGTCACTGGATTACCACTGTTCCTTCCGTGGACCACTTTTGATCGATCCCTATAAACCAGGAGCAGGGCTGTGGTTGTGATCCAGTCATCTAACATCACAGTTTGGCCTTTTGTCAAACTCAAAACTCACCGTTTTTCCAGCTTCCAACATCAACTTTGAAGACAAAATGTTCTCCTGCTCCCTGATATAGTCCACCCACTAACAGGTACCATGATGAAGAGATAATCAGTGTCATTCAGTTCACCTGCAGCGGTCAGAGCATTACACCTAATCGGTGTAAGTGTTAGCGCAGAGATGGACTGGCATCCTGTCTGCACTGTGCTCTGTAAAACCTCTGTTCCCTGAATCAAACAAGGATGGATTGTTTTGTCTCACACAATAGTAACAGATTTTTGATAGAACCTAGCTGATAATAGCAAGTTTGCAACAGACATAATAACGGTATAAAAATGATATCACAAGCATTACTCATGTTCTTGTGGATACATTTTCCTTTAAACTGAGTGGACACTGTGCCAACATCTGGGTCATTTGGTCCAGTGGGGAGAGCAAAGCCCCAAGTGTAACTTTTTGTTTCTGCATGATTAAGACTGGAGCCTCTGGGGCTGATGTCACTGCTGCTGCAGTCGCAGTGTGATCTGAATTGACAGCCAGACATGACTTTATTGTGCATTCAGAGTAACCAGGGGTACTTCTGGGGACATTTAAGAAAAATCTTTGTTAAAACTATTTTTTCTTTTTATTCTGTACTTTGGTTTCTGAAAAAATATGAGCAAATCTTTGGTTCACCCATAAACTACAGATGTTTATTGTGCCAGTTAGAAAATGAATTAGAAATAACAAAGAGCCGTTGTCCTTGGATACAAGCACATAACATACAGTGGTTTAATAAAGTACCAATAACAGTTTAACTGTATTTACATTATTTAGGTGACCTGCAAATTGTCACCAAAGAAATACTTAAAATATACAGTAATTTTAAGTGTTGCATAAATTTTGCAGAAAACAAGCAATATTTCCCCATCCTACATTATAAGTATGCTGTGGAGCCATATTATTGAGTGACTTACCTTTTTACATCGTTATTTATTAAAATAGTTTTTAATCTTCCTTATATTGATGTGCATGATGGATATTCTATGTTTATTTGTTCTTTTTTGCTTACTCTGTACTTAGAAGCTGCTGAAATTGGCCGATAGTATAATAATTTCTTTGTGTTGTGTAAAAACTTGACTTTTTACTTATTGTAGGGTACTATCTGCACGTACTGGTAGGTAAATATAATCACGTTGTAATTTCAAATAAAATACACTGAAATTCCATTCAGCTGATTTTGTACTGTATGAACTTGCTTGTAAATTTTAGGAATAAATAAATAAATATAGCAGATTGTTTTTGTTTACTTTCAAGGCAGCTGTGTAATGAAGCTGGCTCGGAAGTGAATAATTACATGGAAATGTAATCCTGTGGTTTAAAGCTGGAACTCATTAGTTTTGCTGTAACTTGATAATAAAGTCACCAAAAGCGGTTAGCAGTCTCCACAGCTCGACTTAAAATGTCAAATTACTGTGACATTAAATCAAGTGAGTACCTCAAAATAGCACATGCACTGTGAGGAGCGCACACAGCTTCAGTCGGTTAGAGTTATAAAATAATAACTTGTGTAATATTTTCCAAGCAGCGTGACTGAATCTGAGTCACGGAAGGGAAACGAAGATTAAAGATCTGCCTTCAAGGACAATCCAGAGCCACCGGCTTGTAGACAACATAGCAGCAGAAGATAAATCCTAATACGTTTCTATGAGACTGTTTTTTTCACTTGGGCTGAATACTTTCCAAGGCACCGATGGGCTTCAGACATCAAAGCTGACAGAAGCTAATTAAACGTTTCAATTTCAAGATGTTTCTGAAAAGATAAACAGAACTCAGAAATTCCTTAAGGGGCACTTCTGTCAGTTAATTTCCTCCTTTGGGTATGAAAGTAACAAACTTTGTTTTAAATCCCCCTCTTTAGTCTGTTTTGATCTCTGAGGCCCTGACGTGACAGTATACATAATTTTAGTAAATGTCTTGATTTTCAGTACTGGATTGGGGTCATTTAAGGACAGAAAGTCTAATTTGTCTATTTCTTTAGTCTGTGTTCTTGATCTCTCGCTCTCTCTTTAGGCTAAAACTCTCATTGATTTATGAGAGTATTTATTTGCTCGGGGTTCGAGTGTAATTTTTGCACTATTAATTATAAATATTTACTTATTTACTTTGGTTCTCGATCTCTACAATGAAGCACCAACACTCCCACAAATAAATACAGATGTACGCTTTGTTGTTACTGGACATCCTCCGAATAACAAACGCATTGTGTGAAGCGAGGAAGTGAACGTAACACAGTCACGGGGTTAGTCCTTTGGCCAGAAAGCCTGATGGCCAACACCTGTCTAAACACATGTAGATGAAAAACAGAATGCGCACCCGCTGCAAGATTAATACGCCCCTCCTGTTTTAAGACCCTTATCTAATCAGACGGGTCAGTCAAGAGCATGTGCTTGTTTACAGTGACAGCACCACCCTCGTTCCTTGTTCAACTGGCTGAGTGAATGAACAGTTTTGTCCAAATACTTTAGGGCGAACTGGGTTTGCTCCAAGAAGAATGTGCTGTTCTGTCAAACAGCAAATACTCCGGTTTATATTTCTGAGTGTGTTTGTGTGTCTTTGTGCAGACATGGCAAACAGGAGGTTTTCATTTCATACATAGATGCTTCTTCATCCTAACGTTTGAATTTATGAGCTTTTGCCCTGCACAGCAATGCAAGAGAACACCTTCACAGACAGACAGACAGACAGACAGACAGACAGACAGATAGACAGATAGATAGATAGATAGATAGATAGATAGATAGACAGATAGATAGATAGATAGATAGATAGATAGATAGATAGATAGATAGATAGATAGATAGATGTTTCATGTATATATCTATGTCTACAGAATGAGCATGCTCAGAGTAGGATGAAGTCTACACTTTTCCTGTTCCTACCCCCATATTTCAACTTTTATTGCTTACAAATCCATATTCAGAATTTGACATTATATGATCCATACATGTTTAACTATATACAAGTCTGCACTCATATACAACACATAAACATACACACATAAAACAATTTTAGCACTTAAACCAAAACAATAACAAACTACATTTTTACATAAACTAAGCACGCTGTGGTTAACACCTGCTTAATCTCTGAGCTTATTTTATATCTATGTTACAAATACCTTAATGAGCGCTTGAAGCTTGGGTTACTCTGGCTTTGATCTATAAAAAGGAGGTCAAGGCTTCAATAGAGCACAGTGAGACAACTCAGTCACTGAGAGGAATATTTCCTATATTCATGCAATTTATTATTTTTAAACAATCGTGTGAATTTGTGTATTGATGTACTTGTCTTGATTTCATCTGTACAGGTGTTCTACACACTAACTCATGTGACTGTAATGCTGTGATAGTTTACATTTGTCCCTACTGGCTTGCTGAACATAAGGATTCCTCTCAGGTCATGAGTATTTTGTCTTATTTGGAACAAGTTCTGGATGTTGTGGGGCAAAGATTTATTTGCTGCTTTGTACATTGTTTGCACAGTTCTTAAACATTAAAGTTCATTACATTAAAATTAGAAAAAGACCAAATAATATTTGAAAGGGTTACAAGGAGAAAGCCTCATCTTTCAGTTGCTTCTGAACAAACCCAAATTTGCTTTAGACAGATGAGATCAAAATGGAGATGTTTGCCTATAACATAACACCGCATGTGGAAAAACAAACACAACTCATCAGCACAAACACCTCATACCAAGTGTCAAGCCCAGTGCTGAGAGGGTGATGATTTGGGCTTGCTTTGCAAGGACAGTCCCTGGGAACCTTGCAGCAACTGATTCGACCACGAGCGCCTCCGTATGCTAAAGTATTCTAGAGTGAAAAGCAGGGCATCCAGTGCTGCAAAGTCCAGACTTCAACCAGATTAATACTGCAGAAGGACCTGTAGGTGTATTTAATTATCCACATGGCCCGAGTGTAAGTGATTCCAGCCTCCTCATAAAAAGACTGCAGCTGTTTGTATCAACAAACACATATTGAAACTATTCACTTGCACTCGTGTGTTTCTCCACTTTTGTTCAGTGTTTTCTTTTACTTACTGATATTTTACATATGTTGATCAAAGATGCTCCACTGTTTCACTCAATCCACAGAACTGCACCGTGTCCTAGTTTCCCCATTGGTCACATGACTGCATTTACTCCTCTTTGTCTACAACATTTCTCCTTTTCTTTCTTCTCTTGAATTTACATTTTTCAAACCCTTTAAATGTATCTTGTACATGCAAGATACTTCAACTGTGAGAGACAGAATGTGAAAAAAAAATCCATGAATCCACATGGTAGGATTTGTAAAGAATTTATTCGTAAATCAGGGTGGAAAATAAGTATTTGGTCAATAACAAAAATACAACTCAATACTTTGTAACATAACCTTTGTTGGCAATAACAGAGGTCAAACGTTTACTATAGGTCTTTACCAGGTTTGCACACACAGTAGCTGGTATTTTGGCCCATTCCTCCATGCAGATCTTCTCGAGAGCAGTGATGTTTTGGGGCTGTCGCCGAGCAACACGGACTTTCAACTCCCGCCACAGATTTTCTATGGGGTTGAGGTCTGGAGACTGGCTAGGCCACTCCAGGACTTTCAAATGCTTCTTACGGAGCCACTCCTTTGTTGCCCGGGCGGTGTGTTTTGGATCATTGTCATGTTGGAAGACCCAGCCTCGTTTCATCTTCAAAGTTCTCACTGATGGAAGGAGGTTTTGGCTCGAAATCTCACGATACATGGCCCCATTCATTCTGTCCTTAACACGGATCAGTCGTCCTGTCCCCTTGGCAGAAAAACAGCCCCATAGCATGATGTTTCCACCCCCATGCTTCACAGTAGGTATGGTGTTCTTGGGATGCAACTCAGTATTCTTCTTCCTCCAAACACGACGAGTTGAGTTTATACCAAAAAGTTCTACTTTGGTTTCATCTGACCACATGACATTCTCCCAATCCTCTGCTGTATCATCCATGTGCTCTCTGGCAAACTTCAGACGGGCCTGGACATGCACTGGCTTCAGCAGCGGAACACGTCTGGCACTGCGGGATTTGATTCCCTGCCGTTGTAGTGTGTTACTGATGGTGACCTTTGTTACTTTGGTCCCAGCTCTCTGCAGGTCATTCACCAGGTCCCCCCGTGTGGTTCTGGGATCTTTGCTCACCGTTCTCATGATCATTTTGACCCCACGGGATGAGATCTTGCGTGGAGCCCCAGATCGTGGGAGATTATCAGTGGTCTTGTATGTCTTCCATTTTCTGATGATTGCTCCCACAGTTGATTTTTTCACACCAAGCTGCTTGCCTATTGTAGATTCACTCTTCCCAGTCTGGTGCAGGTCTACAATACTTTTCCTGGTGTCCTTCGAAAGCTCTTTGGTCTTGGCCATGGCGGAGTTTGGAGTCTGACTGTTTGAGGCTGTGGACAGGTGTCTTTTATACAGATGATGAGTTCAAACAGGTGCCATTCATACAGGTAACGAGTGGGGGACAGAAAAGCTTCTTACAGAAGACGTTACAGGTCTGTGAGAGCCAGAGATTTTCCTTGTTTGAGGTGACCAAATACTTATTTTCCACCCTGATTTACAAATAAATTCTTTACAAATCCTACCATGTGAATTCATGGATTTTTTTTTCACATTCTGTCTCTCACAGTTGAAGTGTACCTCTGGTGCAAATTACTGACCTCTGTCATCATTTTAAGTGGGGGAACTTGCACAATCGGTGGCTGACTAAATACTTTTTTGCTCCACTGTATCTGGTTACATGCAGCTCATAATTATATATAAACATACATTATTTGTGTGTTTATATATAAGTGGAAACATTTTACTCATGTCCAAATCCTTTTAGAGAAACAGTATCAAACTCAAACTACAGCCCACTCTGATCTTTAGTTAATTGCACAATGAATCCCTGGACGATCTCAATATAAGAAAAAAGACATACACTTTTAAAATGTACGTCTCAGTTTTTCAACATGACAAAGAAATGCTGCTGTAGTTAATGACATAAATGAAATGGTAAATGGTAAATGGCCTGCATTTGTATAGCGCTTTTCTAGTCCATAGGACCCCAAAGCGCTTTACACTACATTCAGTCATTCACCCATTCACACACACATTCACACACTGGCACTGGCACGAAATGCACGTACAAATGTACAAATAATATACCAATGTAATGTTAAATTATTTCTGTAATTAATTTTTTAAATAATCATATCGTCTACTACCCATTTTAAACTGGAACTTACTAGAATGGACGAGAAGACGGCTGCTGCCCTGCGGAACTATTTATCAGCTGCACTGTCTACACGGACAGCAGTAAGGTAAACTACCCACTGCACTTCCGTTGCCCATGACACCGGAGCGAAGTTCTGACAGCTGATTCCTAAATCAGTTCATATCCATTTCGTGCCTCCAGGGCGTCATTTTTTAGGTTATTTACAGGCGCACGGAGCTGCTACGAGTCTCGGCTGGAGTTGCAGACTGCGGCCCGAGCAGAGGAGGGGCGGCTGATTATGGTGTAGCGCGGAGCGCTAGCTCTGAGACAGCAGGTAACACAGATCACACACAGGCTAACAGCAGTTAGCACACAGACTTTGCGGGCAACTTTCAGCTGTACAGCTGCTCCCATCTGCGTTTAGAGAGGAATAACCCCGAGCCGAGGCTGCGTATGAGCTTGGGCATAGTGTCCAGCTAGCCGTGCTGAGCGGTGTGAGCCATTTGTTGTTGTTATTTTACGGTAACACAGCAGCCCACAGCTCGGAGACGAGGCAGTGACTTCACTCTGAAAAGTTTTAGTACGAGTCCTGAATGTGTTTGAAGCACTTTCAGCTCTGCACAAAGGTTTAACTCGTGTACTACACCTCTGTTTGGTTTGGGTGTTATAAGAAGGGAGCCGACTCCTTCTAGTTTGGGTCACGTTGGGTTTGGGTTTTGGGGAAGTTTGGGATTTAGGGAACATTTTCAGTTGCGCTGATCGCTGGAACTGCGGTAGGCCTGACAGATGTGTCATATGTTGCCTGCTTACTGTTTGACCGGCATCCAGGTGCTATGTGTCAAGGAGGTGCAGCAGTGAGTGACAGCTGAGGCAGGTGGGCCTTGACTCAGGCGCAGTGACACACATTTCACGGTCCGCTGATAGTTGATACCTTTAGTCTCTGCTTCCCACATCGCTCAGACTGGATTCACACTGACCGAGAGCTGCAGCCTGCGCTGTCTGTGAAGCAGTATCACAGTAAGAGCGCCGTGGCACATGATGTTTTCAAAAGACCATAAAGATTGAGTCTGATGTCAGATGAGAGTGGAGGACAAATATTGCATGTGCAATGTCTCATGATGTTCCAGATAAAAAATGTAACCTGTCAGGAAAAAGGTAAGATAGACCAACTGACAGCAAGCCAGTGCTGTCCTCTGTATGCCCCACTGATGATATACCCTTAACAATCAGGGTCACATTCGGCCTCAGACACTGTTTGTTTACAGTATATCTGTGTTCCTGGATTCAAGGTCCATCTGTTTTCTCGTCATGAAAACTTCCAGCCCTTGACTGACTGTGGACTGTACTGTACGAGTAGTGATCCTGCAAGAAATGTAACACTCCGTGATGTCTTGACTCAGCAACCTGCTTATCACACAGAAGGAATGTGTGCAGTGAGATTTCCTTCTGTTGATGGAAATGTTGTGTTGCGGTGCTCAATACTAGATCTTGTTTTTGAGTTACATTTGAATCCCCCCGCATTAAATTCACACTAAATTCACACCTTCTCTGCAACCAGATGATAGCTACGAGATCAAAAGCATGATTGTGCAGGAAATAATATTTAACATATCTATAATTCAAAACTTTTTCAGCACGTCTCTGCACATCATTTGGAATTGCAGATGAGTTGCTTATGAGTTGCAATTAAGATGGATTAAAAATGAACGAGTTTAAAATCATTTTTTCACAGTAGTTGTAGTAATGTATGTGATATGTAGTAGTACTAATTTTCTGTGAAAAAATAGAGACTTCTTACTGTTTGCCTTTGATGCAATTTACCTTGAAAGAGCTATGGTCTGTGTGTTTGCGCCTCTCTATTCTCTGTGTTACCTGTATGTGCATAATTGTAACAGCATTGCATTATGTTTTAAACCACAGTTACATGAGAAGTTTTGAATTTTTGTCCTCAATTTTAGATTGTGGGAGGAAACCAGTGTGAATGTTTGAATAACTGCAATTAACAAGTGACGTTACTACAGATGTGATACTTGTTTTGAGAGTGTTGATGGGGAAGTATAGATAAGGTCAGAAGGAGCTTCACTAAGTCTTTAATGTTCTACGTGAAGCATATGATAGGGTGTCCAGAGAGGAACTGTGGTGCTGCATGAGGAAGTGAGGATTGGCAAAGAAGGATATAAGGGTGGTGCAGGACCTGTATGAGGTCAGCGTGATGGTGGTGAGGTGTGCAGTAGGAGTGACAGATGGGTTCAAGGTCGGGTGAGTTTACTTCAGGGATCTTCTTGTTTGCAGTGGTGATGGACAGGCTGACCATCCACTGATGGACTGTGATGATTGCAGATGACTGTGGTCTGTAGTGAGAGTAGGGATCAAGTGGAAGAGAGCCTGGAGAGGTGAAGCTATGGTCTCAAGAGGAGGAATGAAAGTCAGTAGAAGCAAGACAGAATACATGTGAATGAGAGGTGAAGGAGCAGAGGTGATGAAGGTAGATGAGTTTAAACGGGGGGGTCAGCCATTCAGTGCAACAGACAGTCCACAAGAGAGATGAAGAAGTGAGTGCAGGTGGAGTGGAGTGGGTGGAGATGGATGTCAGGGGTAATTTGTGACAGGAGAGCTGCAGGAATAAAAGGGAAGTTTTACAAGATGGTAGTGAGACCTGCTAGGATGTGTAGCTTGACATGGTGGCACTGACAATTAGACAGAAGGCCAGCCTGGAGGTGGCAAATTTTTATTGCAGGTGACCAAAATGGACAAGATTAGAAATGAGTTCATGAGAGGCACACATCAGGTTGGAGTCAAAGTTGATGAGCTGATTTGGACATGTACAGAGGAGGGGCAATGGGTATATTGTCCAATGGATGTTAAATATGGAGCTGTGAGGTGGTTTATGGATGTATTGAAGGAAGACATGCAGAGGGTTGGTGTGACAGTGGAGGATGCTGGGATATGGGGAGGGAGATTATCTGCTGTGGCGACCCCTAATGAGAACAGTTAAAGGAAGTGGTAGAAATATCTATTTGTAATGAAAACACAGACTCCCTCGTGTAATTCAGGATTATTTGACTGCTGTATCACTACCTTATAATGCCTCTGCATCTGTGTGTTATGCAGTATGGTGTAACTGAGCATTTTATTCTGTATGCTCTGTGTTGTTTGCAGGCATTTGAGCAGCAGTGCATTGCAGCACGGTGCACCGTGGTTTTGACAGTCATATCACATCAGCGTAGCCATGCTCACGTTGGCCAGTAAGCTGAAGAAAGAAGACGGAGGAAAGACAGGCCGTGCCTCCGGAGCCTCAGACTCCACCCACAGGGTCTCAATCAGAGACCGCCTCCTTACCAAAGGTACCCGGGTATTTTATAATTTGGTCCATTTTTCAGTTTCAGTTTCCCTTTTTTATTACAGGAACAAAACTAGATTTCAACAAGGTTGCAACAGTTTTCCTCTTGTGAATATAATCCATCCTTCCTTCCTTCCTTCTTCTTAACTGTTTCTCCATCTTAGCTTGACGGAGTGGCTGGAGTCTGTCCCAGCATTTGTGCTCACTGGTTAGGGTGAGAGTCACTTCTATGTTAGCTCTCTCTCTCTGGCTCTGACCACAGAGACAAAACATTCACTGTGCAGAGCGCCATGAATATTAGGGATGCTCCTTGAGGCTAATTTACTAATGTTTTTAAATGGCAGCACACAGTCTGACTGACTCGTGTCATAGTAGTACACGCTCGGAAATCCGAGTCGAGCGTAATGGACGAGGTTAAATGCTGTCTCCTCTGATATTACGTGTGTATTCAAGAGTTGTTAGAAACACTTAATCATGTTCTTAAATAATCAAATCACATTTTACATTTTGGGTTGTAGCCCTTGAACTTGTAGCATCTCAGAAATAATGGGCAACAACAAGTGTTCAGTAATAAAATAGGAGAGAGGTACTTTAACTGATTAGCATTAGAATGTTGACTAGCGACAGCAGCAATTTTTAAACCTCTTGTTTAAACCTATAAGTGGGCATGCCCTGAGGTGAGACTGGCCACCTGCTCTGAGCTCTACAACTTCGTCTTCCTCCTCAACTTGAAACTCTGGTTGAATGCTTGTTTTAGACACAGTAAAGTAGATCCAGAACATCGTAGGACAAGAGTGCAAGTGGTTAAAATGGGGCTTCCAGTGAGGGCTCTGCAATAGCAGGACGCCGCCCAGAGGTGCGCACAGAGATGATCTCTCCAAAGGGATCTTTCTTTATTTCTTTATGTTACATGCATAGAATCATGGAAATCAACTTTATTAAAATATTAGTTGTAGGTAATACATCTAATTAGTCAGAATTTTTGTTTGAGCATCACGTGGAGAAATACCCAAATGCCATTCCCTTTGAGACTCCCAGCAGGTGACAGCTTTGCCAGTCAAACATGCATGAATAATGGCAGCAGCTGCAGCTCATGACAACACAATAAGACCCAAGAGATGTAAACAAATTGGTTTTTTGATCAATGAATAATTTTGTGTTTCAACACAGAAAATAGCCTCGAAATAACTTTCACACTCACATTTGTCTGACGTTATTATCAAACATGTAATCTTAGTCTTGGTCTTACACTCCTGAAGCTTTACCTCCACTAACAAAATGCTTTTCAGGCCAACTGTTGTAGTAAGACATCTCCCAGCCCTCCAACATAAAGGCTGCACATGTCCTTGTTGTATTATTGTTATTTTGGTATTTTATAGTGCAAGTATATCATGTTTACAGACGCAAAATAAAGTTGGTAAATTTTATGTTTAACTTTTGAATGCATGACCGTATAAGTTGGTGATTTAGAGCCAACCATCCCAAAAACATACTTCACACAAATGTTTTTACACGTATTAGTTTTATAGAGAGACCCACCTTCAGCCAGAAGGAAGGAGTCTCTTTTAGCTTTTCTTAGCTGGGGACAGGTGACCTAAATTGTAGGTGGTGGATTAAAAATTTTTCAAAATCTGAATAGGACTTTGCCTTTTGGCCAAAGTTTGTTACTGTGAGCTACTCTTAATCTGATAAAAGCCCATCGTTGGTCTCCTTAGGCAAAACAGTAAGCCGGCATTATCTCCGAGGGAGCTGTTAAGTAGATTACTGTGTATGCACATTCTGTGTGGAGAAACAGATGAAACTCCAGCGACTTCCTTGAATTACCTAATTATTAGACTATGCACATCTCAAAGAGCATATTTACCAAAGTAAAAATTCTCAGCAGGCCACGTCCGACCAACAGCACCAGCTGCCCAGAGAAGAAAAATACAACGGGTATTTTTGTTGTGTATTTTTCTGGGAGGTAAAGGTGTTAAACCAGCTGACACGAATTAGGAGTGAAAAGTGTGTCAGTAGTGAGAAAACACAACAGACCCTGAACGCTTTTAAAAATTCAGCCCGACCTCGCCCTCTGGCAGCGAGAACAAAACAACCTTTTATCCTTCTTGCGTTGCTCTTCTCTCTCCCCGTCTCCTTTTTCCTACTTTGGCCCACCGTGTTACTCGCTGTGTGTCTCTGCTACACTGCGCTGTATGTAAAATACATTTTTTCGTGTATGAATTTCATATTAGACTTTATGTTTTATGCAGAGAAACTTTCCTGACAATGCAGCTACTAAAATATTACTTCATTATAAAAACACCAGTGTGGGAGTTTGAGTTCTTTGTGTATGAGGATATCACACTGTGCCTCATTCTTCAGCCTCTTTTTTTTGTGTTTTTGCTGCTGTCTCACTCGTTCTTATTTTCTGCCAACAGAAGTTGCCGAACTTGAAGCCAATCTTCCTAGTAAGTACTTCCACTTTCATACACACAGCATTTTTTTTTTCAGCTCCACGTTTTCCGCCAGTCAAAAGCGGCTGAAACTCTGACAACTGAGTAATTGGCCTAATTTGCCATAAATCCTCATAGTCTCCTTCTGGCTCTTAATTTCCTCAGTTATGGTATAAAGGAGGCAGGAAAGAAAACCAAGCCTCTGATGTGCTTCACGTTCTCTGTTTTTGACAAATTGCTTTGCTAATGTTAAGTGAAAGCTATTTGTAACCATACTTTAAGCCGTTATTACATTGCCACGAAGTTATTCAGCAACAACCAGTAACACGATCATTTTACTTCATGGTTAAAATGTTTGTTAAGTGAGTGATTCATGGAAGACTACTTAGTCCAAATGACTAGGGATGGGTACCGGTGTCCGGTGCCATGATGGCACCGGTTCTGACATAAACGGTAGTAACCAGACCAAAAAGCAGCGCACATTTCGGTGCTTTATTTCGGTGCTTTATTTCGGTGCTTTATTTCGGTGCTTTATTTCGGTGCTTTTTTTTCCTGAGCTGTGATACACTTCTAGCCAATCATTTTACGTTTCCGAGGATAGTAGGCGGGGCCAGGTACGTACGTTCTGTTAGAGCAGAGCTACAGATTAAAAATGCCCAAGGCGAAGCGGTCAAAGTCTGGCTGTACTTCATAGCAAAATATGCAAACTCAGCAGCCTGCAACACGTGCTTTAAGCTGATACTGTCAAAGGAGGTAACACCAAGAATCCGATTAAACAGCTGGCGACGCATAGCGTTTTTTTTAAAAGCCGAGAAATGCGCCGTATTTGATAGCTTGCTGCGAGACCTCACACCGAGCACGTCGGGTGGGTTGCCAGTTATCGGACCCGGAGCAACATCCCCCAAAAACCCGAAGAGGAGAGTCCTGGCCCCTAGCCCTGCCAGTGTAGCAGAAATGATGAGGATGATGCAGCAGCAGCCGTTCTTCTCTGCGTGAGTAGCTTAATGTTGTTAGTGTGTAATTTACGTTGAGTAGGCTAACCACGTTATTACATTAATGCATGTAAGGTGAACTAGCAAACATCATCATAGCTACATGCGGCTGTCTTCTTGTTTGATGGCAGATACTCCCTTCACCCTGGCCAAAAAGGCTAAAATGACCAAAGAAAAAGTGGAAAACAGTTAAACATGAGAGGTTTTTGGACAAAAATTGGTGTTTTTTCCATTGATTAAGCACTGCTTCCAGCCAAGAGTGATACCATATATGCCCCATAGCTGCAGAAAAGGCTAACATTGTTATCTTTTTACAAAAAAAACCAGCTGAACATGAGAGGTTTTTGGACAAAGTTTGTGTTCTCCATTCTTTAAGCACCGGTTCGAGCACCGTTTAAGCACCGGCACCGTTTCAAAAGTACCGATTTGGCACCGGTATCGGATAAAACCTAAACGATACCCATCCCTACAAATGACAGACTGGTGGATGTTTTTAAATGATAAGAGACAGCTTAGCATTATTTAGCTGCGCATTTTCAGCCAGCTCGTCGAGTTCGACCTCATAAATGTATCTGTGCTAAGCTGCAAGTGATTCATGTCTTTAAATATAAACAAAAGTGATGCAGGCCTGAAGACGTTTGCTGCTCGCTGTATTTCTGCCCTTAGGGGAGATATTTGTTTAAACAGACTTTACCCTTGGCTACTATTTTAGCACTTCCACCTCAGTATATCAGATCTTCTTTGGTCACTGCTATGCACAAGTGCAGAGTTCATCATGCTTGCTGTGGCTCAGACCAGGTTGCTTCTTTTTTTGGTTTTGTTTGTGGCCTGATGAAACTGATGTGTAGCTTGAGGGTCAATGAACAATGTGTCATGCACACGGAAACAGGAAAGTAACACCGCTGATTGGCTTTCTTAGAAGATGTTTTTGTGAGATTCAAATTTAAGACACAATTCAAAGAGTCCAAAAAAAGCACTAGTGAGTAGTTGCTGGAGGTAGGCGCTGCTGCAGCGGGTGTTCGCAGCTTATTTGATCTCTTCCTCATATGACAACCTGAGAGTTCTTCAAATTGCTTTTCAAACAATCACTACAGTTGCTGTGAGGTCATGCGGCTCTTAGATGAACAGCAGTGTGAAGCAGGAGGCGTTTATGTTTCTGCAACCTGTGCTGTACAATTAAAGAATGATAAAATAATGTTCTGTGCAAAGTGCTTTTTTTAAAGTAGTTTTTATTTATGGAAACCGGGCTTATGTGTAAAAACATATTAGGATTTAATATATGTTAGAGGTGGGAATCACCAGACTTCCCACTATACGATATTACCTCAATACTTCACTCGAGATACAATTTTATTGTGATTTTCCATCTCACTATTGGAATAACATATATTTCACTTTTTTATACTGCAAATTATCTCCCCAAGTTAAGCTTTTTCAGCATCTGTTTTGTCCAATAAGATTTTATCCAATCTGCTGATTACAAAGATCTAATTATTACATTTCCAATCAGCAACTTCAATTCAATGTAATTACATTTTATTTATTTATACAGTGCCAAATTACAACAACAGTCGCCTCAAGGTGCTTTATATTGTAAGGTAGACCCTACAATAATACTGTACATACAGAGAAAAACCCAACAATCATGTGACCCTTTGGGGACAGTGGGAAGGAAAAACTCCCTTTTAATAGGAAGAAACCTCCGGCAGAACAGAGCTTCCTGTTTTATAGGCTCCATGTTAGTATAACAGAAAAGGAAGGACCAGTCAAAACAAATCGAGGACCATATTTCTAAACGAGGGGCTACCTCTGTAGCATGGACATGGTTTGGTTATGAAAAGTCTGACACGGACCAGAAAACTGTACAATGCAAATTATGCCGAAAACCGGTCCCCACTACAGACTCAAACACGACAAACCTCTTCTACCACCTACTCAAGAGTCGCGTAAAAGAGTACGGAGCGAGTTTACGGATGAAAAGCAAAATAGAGCCGTCAGGTGCTCAAAATGCACCTTAGACTTAAACGTTAAAACAAGCTTTTCCCCGCAGCACGCCGTGTAATAAATACTCACAAAGAAAATGGCGGCCGTTACAACTTGTATCTAAAACTGTAGTTTCACGGATCGGTCAAAACACTCGACTTCAGGTACACGGCGCTCAGCTGAAAACACTTCAAGTCGAGTTGCCCGAGATTCACAGAATTTACAGAAAATTTAAAATGTTTGTGATTTATATCGTTGTCTGGATGATAAATGTTTTATCAAAACATATCAATGTTTTTTTTTGTTTTTGTTTGGTTGGGTTTGTTTGTTTTTTTTTAGATGCAAAGTGCTGTTTGTTTTAGGAACTCCCGAGTGCTCAAACCTCATTTGTTAAATATGTATGGACCACTACGTATCCTTTCTTTACGTCCCAGTATGAACGCTAAGATACCTTGAAGAGTATGAATTCATTAAATACGTAAAAACAACCCTCCCGGCTGTGAACACAGTGAGAAACACCAGTGTGAAGAACAGTGACAGATTTGTGTGCACAGTCTTTCACTTTTATATTTGTGACTTTCTTGGAATCACTTAAAGCAGAGAGCTTTGCCTGTTAAAGGCAATATGTTAAACGTAGGGTGGATGGGGAAATAAGAAGCAAATCAGATGTAAAAAAAACAAGGAGCACTCGTGGCTGATGGACTTCACTGAGGGAAGTTTTGTTGTCCAGGTGAAAGCTGGGATTCATCCACCGTGCAGTGAAGACATTTTTATTCTCTATAGGTTTACGCTCATAAACATGTCTTAATTGTAGCTGTTTACTTCATCACATAATTATTATTATTGTTGTTATTGATCCATTTATGTAAGTTTTTATTTGCAGCTTTTAAGACATCATTTTCATGTTTTGAGGTGAAGAAAGGTTATAAAAAAATTGATGCTGTATTTAAATGCAATATGCAATCTTCTCATAGAGCAAGCAGAGCACTTTATTTCTCAAGGGCTCTTTAATGACACTGATTCAGACAACCAGGGTTTCATTAATTCTTTTCTAATCAGGGAGCAATGTGTGAAACACGTTATATTAACATTCTGATGCATTGACTGGCAGCCAGCCCGGTATAATTTGATCATCCTCTTCAGAATGAGTTTCTAGTTGGTGTGTGTGTGTGTGTGTCTGCATTACTCTGATATTATAACTTCCATTGTGCAGCACAGAGTAGTGTTACGGTGTGTGACCAAAGCCAATAGTGAGCACTGAGTATATATGCTAGAGCTGCTGGGGCTCATTTGCATATATATAATGTGAATGTGAAGATGGCAGTCTGGAGTCATTTTAAGACATAAAGGAATTATTTCTATCATTATTATTTAATCAAAAAGCTGGTAATTATGTAAGTAAAACAAATAAAAGGAGGAGTTATTTTATAGTTTTAAGTGTAGTACCTGTCCTTGAACACCAGGGGGGAATATGGTGCCACAGGGACTTTGAAATGCAAGGCAAAAACCCTGCACCAAATTAAGGCGGTATCAACATACCATGGTTAGAACAGATTGCAGTATGTCTTAGATTTTAATGCCTTTATTTGCCAGTAAGGCAAATATTCTTCTGTTTTTATTATCTGACTCTAATGACTCTTTTTTTTCCCTCTTTCCCCACATCGTTCGTGTCCAGGCACATGCAAAGCCAGTTTTCCAGATGAGGATAAGCTGCATCATTTTCAGCTGGCAGTGTCTCCTGGTAAGAAAATAAGAAAGCCTGTTTTGATCCTGCTCTAAAAACTGCTTTGGTACACCCTCAAAAAAAAAAAGTTGGTTCTTATTCTAGTTATAAAAGTTTTTAAATCTCTGTTTCACTTAAATTTACTTCACCAGCACATTTAAAGATGAAGTGGTGTAGTAAAAGAAGCTCTGACGGGGACGTTGTTGGGTTCAGGTGATTTAGTGTGAAGGAGAGGAGACTGCAAGTGTTTGCAATTTGTTTCTCAATCTCTGTGTGTCCTAAAGTATTCCTATTGAAAGGCACTTAAGCATTCTCTGTACTTTCACATTACCGCAGCACTGTCCTCACTCCCCAAGGCAGTTGTGCTTAATCAGCATTGTTTCAAGCTCAGCGGGCTACCTGTCGAATATTGTACAAACCAAACATAGTGGTGTGGGGTTACCTAAGTCTCCGGAGGCTCTCATGCGTCCCACTTCCTGCTTCCTCTCCATCACACACAAACTTTCTTCCAGCCCAAACCCAGTTTCTCCTTATCATTCTCCTCATGTAGCAATCTGTCTTCATTTTCATCAGTAAACATGCCAATCCATAGACTGAGAGAAATCTCAGTCATGTTGGAGCAATAGAAGGAGAGAAGCAAAGAAACAGAGCGGTAATAAATATATTATTTAAATATTTGTAGAATATTTCATCTAGCTAATAATTTAAGGAAGATGTCTTATTATGTTTTCACATTTCCCAACAACTACTCATCCAGTCCACATCAAAGCTGGCGGGTGTACGGCTTGGGAGTGAGTGGACTGAGGTCATGTGCATGAAGGATGGTCTCGGTTTGCAAGTTGTTTTGGAGAGTTCATTTCTGATGGTTTTTGTGAGCAAGGCTTTGTCCACATTTGCAACTTTACAAATACATGGTAACACAAGTCTTTGCATGAGTGACTCCACTGCAGCATCTCAAAGAACTCTTTATAGAAATTAATCAGATGATTATAACATTAATGACCGCGAGACTGCATGTTGTTCCTTGTATTCATAAAAATGACACCTCAGTGCATCAAAACATGGCAACAATGGGTTCTGAGTCCACCAAGCATCTGTGCATCAAAGGTCTTACTCCTACCTGTGTAGTTTTAGTAACATGGGGGGTTTAACCCTAAGTGTTAAGTTTGGTCTGGTTTTAGGATAAGTGTTATGCTAAATTAGTTTTTTCATATGACAAGGCTTTTTGTCTTTTTCATTCACCATTCGTACATTATTCCTTAGATAAAATACATTTATTGCCGCAATCACAGACTAATAGAATAAATTGGAGGGACAAATAAATTTTGTATAAGTTAAAAAAAAAAATATTGGTGCGATTTGGTCTAATCGAAAGCATTTGAATTGAGTTTGTTAGTAGCAGTTTTAAGCTTAAACATGACTTTAGAGAACTGTTATTTAACTTTAGGAACTCATCAATATTTAAACTTTTTTCTTTTTTTTACAATGGAATTAATTGTTTAGGTTTTTGTTTTTTTGTTTTTGTCGGGTCGGGCATTTAGAAATAAATTAATTTGAAAATTCTAAGCTGTCTCATCCTGTAATAAATGTGTGCCTTGTGTAATTGTGTGAAAGTGTAATTGTGTCTCGGTGATTCATCCACCTCTCCTCCACTGCAGTATGCACTGTAACGTTCAGGTTAACGTTCACAGAGGCCTTTGTAAGCAATATCTGCAGAGAAAAGCAAAGATCAGCAATTAGAGTAAAGCTTTGGTTTCGTGTTATTCTAAGAGGAGTTGATAAGGAGACTGAGTTCTCAGAAAAGGCTTGCTCAATTATTCAAAACCTTCTCTTCTGGCGTGCACCACCTCGGCTCCACCCGCACCGCGCTCGGCTATCACATGCTCCCTTTTGCCATTTCTGTTTTCTGTCTTTGTTTAATCTTCCTTTTCCCTCCTCCTGTGCGGCTCCCTCAGCCGTCCTGCATTTCCTCAGTTGTAACCAATGTGGTGTTTAAGACAACAGCCCTGATCATTTGCTGGTCGTTTGTATTTCATCTGTGAGAACAAACAAAATATTGCCTCTCGTCAAAACACAAAATACTAATAGCCAAATCTAAAAGCATTTAAGCACAGGCACGATTACAGGAGTACATTTCTCTATAATGCATGTTAAAGGATGATACTATAATTTGTGTGAGTTTGGTTACTAAAAAAATAGCATCAAGCTTTTCAAATTAATAAATGAATAAATGGTGGATTTATAAAGACGTGTCATGTTACAGGTGTGTTTCTGGCAAAGCTGTATGAATATTTGTCTTATTTCCATTGTTAGATTTTTCCTTTAAGAATGGCAGTGTAAAAAGCTGACGTTACCCATGAAGCATCTTTAATTTGTGCTTCAGGGAAGGTAATTGTAGTCGGGCCGGAAAATGAAAAATCAAATGCAAGAGGAACTTGCCTCCGGATGCAGGCTGTCTAATATCTCTTAGCAGCGTAAGGTAAAATCAGCTTGACTTGCTATGTAGAGCATTTTTAGCTCTAGGCTAAGCGATCCTTTGTTTTGCTTTTTTGCTTTTTTCCTCATGTTCTTTCATATTTTCTTCTCTTGTTCTCTATGTTTCTCATAGACCGTGGCACCGTTTACTCTGGAACAGTTTTCATGCTACAAGGGTTAAAACGTTGTTCTATAAAACTCACTGCTTTGGTTAGAAATGCATGAATACATTGTTCTGAAGGTAGCAGAGTGTGCTCAATCACTTTTTGTACCAAATGTGGAAAAAATATTCCTGAATCCTGTATTCATTTAAATGTTGGACTCAAAGGTTGTGCATCTTGGGCTCTGTGGTCTTCATTTTAAAGTCAACTCTCTGATTTGATCAACCTGTAAAGAAGGTAAAAATATATATATATCAGTCAAGTGTTTAGGCAATGACACAACATTTGTAGGTTTGACTCTGTGTACTGTCCCTCATAGATTTTGAATCTTAGTCATTTGGTTCAAATTGCACTGTTAAACATCATTGGAGCATTTATCTGAATATGAGCAGAAAGTGGAGCCCCGTGCACTCCAGAATTCATCCTTCTGTTTCTGAAAGTGCTCACGTCATCAGTAAACTCTAATCGCAGCCATACAGTGGGGCAAAAAAGTATTTAGTCAGCCACCGATTGTGCAAGTTCCCCCACTTAAAATGATGAGAGAGGTCAGTAATTTGCACCAGAGGTACACTTCAACTGTGAGAGACAGAATGTGAAAAAAAAAATCCATGAATTCACATGGTAGGATTTGTAAAGAATTTATTTGTAAATTAGGGTGGAAAATAAGTATTTGGTCACCTCAAACAAGGAAAATCTCTGGCTCTCACAGACCTGTAACGTCTTCTGTAAGAAGCTTTTCTGTCCCCCACTCGTTACCTGTATGAATGGCACCTGTTTGAACTCATCATCTGTATAAAAGACACCTGTCCACAGCCTCAAACAGTCAGACTCCAAACTCCGCCATGGCCAAGACCAAAGAGCTTTCGAAGGACACCAGGAAAAGTATTGTAGACCTGCACCAGACTGGGAAGAGTGAATCTACAATAGGCAAGCAGCTTGGTGTGAAAAAAATCAACTGTGGGAGCAATCATCAGAAAATGGAAGACATACAAGACCACTGATAATCTCCCTCGATCTGGGGCTCCACGCAAGATCTCATCCCGTGGGGTCAAAATGATCATGAGAACGGTGAGCAAAGATCCCAGAACCACACGGGGGGACCTGGTGAATGACCTGCAGAGAGCTGGGACCAAAGTAACAAAGGTCACCATCAGTAACACACTACAACGGCAGGGAATCAAATCCCGCAGTGCCAGACGTGTTCCGCTGCTGAAGCCAGTGCATGTCCAGGCCCGTCTGAAGTTTGCCAGAGAGCACATGGATGATACAGCAGAGGATTGGGAGAATGTCATGTGGTCAGATGAAACCAAAGTAGAACTTTTTGGTATAAACTCAACTCGTCGTGTTTGGAGGAAGAAGAATGCTGAGTTGCATCCCAAGAACACCATACCTACTGTGAAGCATGGGGGTGGAAACATCATGCTATGGGGCTGTTTTTCTGCCAAGGGGACAGGACGACTGATCCGTGTTAAGGACAGAATGAATGGGGCCATGTATCGTTAGATTTTGAGCGAAAACCTCCTTCCATCAGTGAGATCTTTGAAGATGAAACGAGGCTGGGTCTTCCAACATGACAATGATCCAAAACACACCGCCCGGGCAACAAAGGAGTGGCTCCGTAAGAAGCATTTGAAAGTCCTGGAGTGGCCTAGCCAGTCTCCAGACCTCAACCCCATAGAAAATCTGTGGCGGGAGTTGAAAGTCCGTGTTGCTCGGCGACAGCCCCAAAACATCACTGCTCTCGAGAAGATCTGCATGGAGGAATGGGCCAAAATACCAGCTACTGTGTGTGCAAACCTGGTAAAGACCTATAGTAAACGTTTGACCTCTGTTATTGCCAACAAAGGTTATGTTACAAAGTATTGAGTTGTATTTTTGTTATTGACCAAATACTTATTTTCCACCCTGATTTACGAATAAATTCTTTACAAATCCTACCATGTGGATTCATGGATTTTTTTTTTTTCACATTCTGTCTCTCACAGTTGAAGTGTACCTCTAGTGCAAATTACTGACCTCTGTCATCATTTTAGGTGGGGGAACTTGCACAATCGGTGGCTGACTAAATACTTTTTTGCCCCACTGTACATGCCTATACCATAACATTGATTCCACCATGTTTGATGTGATATGCTTCAGAGCGCTCTCCTTCTCCTTACATTTATCTCCCTGTCAATCTGGATAAGCCCTCATTGACTTGTCTAGGTTTCATGAAATATTTGCAATTTTCTTGACAGGTTAATTACTTTTTATTTTATTATATTTTGTTTTTATTGACAACTCTTTTGACTGTTTATTGAGTTGCAGTGAAAAGATCCCAAATGCAACACCCACAACTCCACAGCTGGCTTAACTTGTCATAAAATAACGAGGTAGCTGCCC